ACGCTATCGATTATTTCAGATATGTGATAAAAATTTTGAATCCCTTCCAATTGTTATTTAAGAACGATATAATTTGTGAAATTTTTTAAAGGTTTAAAAATACCTGCAAGGGAGAATTAAATGCCCATTCTCTCTCTCTCTAGATGTGTACGAGTACAATATATTAATTCTCGTCGAATACGTAAAATCAATTAACAATTTCAATTAAAGTCATCCATAAGCAATATGCTCAAACTAAATTTTAGAATGTTAAAATTTAATTTCGCGCTCGCGACAAACGTGATTAAGTAATAAATTCCGGACAAGTTGGAAATTCCGATGAAAGCATCGAATCGCCGTCTCGTCTCGAAATTCAATACAAATCCGAGATGGGAACCGATAATAATCCTCCGATAAATGACGAGACATGGAAAAAGGTAACGACAATCTCGACCGAATGCGCGGATAGAAATGAGAAATACGCAGCTGCTTCGTAAGTTATGGGATTTCCATGTAATCGTCCCGATAAATCCGCGACGCTTATGCTTAAAAAGAAATATCGTGTTTAAGCTTAATTCGGAAGTGAGTGTGATAAAAATTGATGGCGCGGGCTCTCGTGTGTGGTTAGCGCCCGTGGCCTCATAAATTCTGCATAATGGCACGACGATGTTAACGGAAACAACGGCAGCCTCGGTAGACAAGCTCTCGAACTAGCGAGAATCGATAAGCCGGTTTTCTTTGGAGACCGAGTTTATCGAACTACTGGGCTTAATCACGTCCCACCGTAAGCTTTAATTGTTTACACGTCCCTCCACTATGTTACTGCGGAATCGATGCAACATTGACATTCAATTATAACAATTATCGCGACTTTAATATTGATTCAATTTTCATGTTCGCGATATAAGCTCCTATCAAATTTATCTATATCGATACACGTAATTATTTTACATCCTCATATCTTTGTCACAATATCCTTAACATGTCGAATTAAAATCCAACATTGAAATAAGAATACGAATTATCGAGATTATTCATTTTATTATCCTATTATAATATTTATTTATATTTATATTAAATATTATCTCTTTGAATATATTTTTGGCAGTTTTACGGACATCCAAATGACTTATCAGACTTTTTAAAGAATGTATTTGTGTATATGTGTATGTATGTGTGAGTGAGTGTGTGATCGTTATTATAATATATATATTAATTTAATTATGTCGTTAATTACAATCTCACTTCGCACTTTTGTATAATCGATCGATAATCATTCTATATATCTTTATAGCATTTATATATATATATATGAGATTATTTTAACAACTACATTATTTTAATAAACTTTCTAGTAATAACGGCATCCCGATAATTAGCAATTTATTCTATAGAGTTATATATATAGAGAGTTATATATATTCTATAGAGTTATGTATATATATATATAAAAAATTAACAAAATATTAAATATAATTATTGTATTTCTCGCTTTATTTTAAAACGAAATAATTATATTTCACATTATTTCAATTATTACTCGTATTTTCAAACAGTTTAAACTATTATTTTCTTTATAATTTATATAACACTATAATCGTATATCTCAATTTGCCAAATTAAGAAAATAACAAAACCTAAATTAATAATAATTTTTCTAACGTTAATAAAAGTTCGAGGAATAACGTCGTTTAATTATGCGTTCGTAGTTTATCAATAACAGACGCTCTTAATTCTAAACGACTGTAGAGAAAACATTCGAGAATCATAGATTGAATATGAATTTGTCACGATACATCGATATCACGCGATATTTGGTTCAATAGTTCAGACTTTAACAGATAAATATGACGATTCACTATCTATCATCTTCGCAGAAGATCAGCTTGATCGCTGTCATCTATTGTCATTTTATGTTTACTAACGAAGACATGTACGACATGCATTTCTATCTATCATATCTCGAGTTTATGCGAAAGAACAATGACAGACTCATTCTTGAAGACACACGAATCATGGAATATAATTATTTGCATCAGTGGGATCGGAAATCACGCAAGTTCAATTTTTTTTTTTTTTTCAAAAATCAGCTACTGGCAAAATCTTATTCTTTAATCGTATTACGTATAAAAAGAAATAAAATGAATACTATAATCTAATATTTTGCGGAAAATAAAATTCTTACACTGAATTCTTAAAAAAAATACTCATGCGATTTCTGATCATACTGATTCAATTAAATTGAACACTTAGATTTCCTACCTAAAATTACGAGCAAAGTTTCGAAAAGCGTCCACTTTTAATTATCCTAATTTAGTATCGCGAATAAAAATCTTTATTAAAACCTCTACTTATTGATTAAAATTTTATTCAATGTTTCAAATTACTAATTAAATTAACATTTTACAGAAAGCAAAATTTCTTTTTATAATACTGGTTTTTATTAAAGAAAAAACGTACCTACTAAACTAGATAATAATCAGTGCACAAACCTTTTCGAAACTTTAATCAAAATTACACTAATTATTTATCGTAATGCAATCAGTCCGCAACGTTGGACCTATCTCGAGTGATTTGTATAGATATTGATTTTCAAAATATGCGCATGAAAATGTCAAGCTCATATTTTCTTTTCTCTTAAAATATTAGAAATTTTTAAAAATATACAAACATTCAATAACTGAACAAGAGTTCATCTTATTTGTTACTTTAAATGGTTTTTTTGAACAATAATTATGCCAAAATTAATTTATATAAATTTGTTTCTTTCAATAAATCCAATCATTATTGACGATCTTCTAAGAAATATAGTTATCTATTTGCGCGATTTGAAAATTTGTCGTTTGAAAATTCCAAACGCAAATACGGAGATTTCGGTGATTTCGTTACGCGATGCGGCAGAAGAGAAGGATGACGTTGACATCGCAAGAGCGTCGCGATATTCGCGAGTTATTCGTAACTCAAGTTGGAGCGGAATAGTACAGGGTGTCTTGAGAGATAAAGAGTTTACGATCTTTATTTACTCAACCAAGGAAAATATCTATTATCCCAGAATTAAACACAAATATATAAATAAGTAATTTCTTAAATTATCATCTTTCTGCATGTGCGATAAAAGTAATTAAAATATTCTCAAGCGCGAAACGAGAGATTAAAAGATCAATGAATGCTAATTCAAGTCTAACTCAAATAGATATCGATTTCCACTTATTGAGTTTGCATGATTTGTGCTTACCTTAGTTAATTCCTTTCTTCAAAACACCCCATATACGAAAAGCTCCGGAAGAGGCGAGAGCGAATCTCGCGGAAACTTCTTCTCGCGGAACGACATTATCGCCAGACAGTTCTGCAATCTGCATGAGGTTGCTGCATCAGTGGAACTTGAAATCGTCGAGAACATACCTCACTCCGTTCACTCGCGCGACGCAGACACATACGAGGATGCAAAAGCAACTCCCGCATCCTCATTTATTTCCCTGTAATCCGTGCTCTTCACGGCAGAAACACGAACCGAGCATGATCATCGAGATGTTCTCTGCGATAAAGCAATTCGAGGGAACTTTTCTGACGGACAAGTATCGAAGAAGGGAAGAAGAGGATACGAGAGCGTAAGCGCCGCTCGAACATTCTTCAGCCTTGGTCAAAGAGATGCCGAGAAAACGCCAAAGAGGTGCGCATCCCTCTCGGATATCGGAAAAGTATTTGCAGAAAATCCTCGACGCGGTACTCGTGTGGCGAGATTCCGATATTCCGTCATTCTTAGTGCTCCTCTATTGCGGATTTCGCTGAGATTTGCGCTGCTAATGGGGACCACGTGTTTTTGCAGCAGGCAACTAAGTAGATAGGGTGACTTTAACGAGTCTGCTTAAACTTTCAGATTACTTTTTTTTGCTCCCTTGCGTGAAAATCCGCTCGTAAAATTATATTCGCGACTGTATTCTTCGCGTTCTGCGAAAAGTAAAATTAGTCAAAAAATAATTATTATAGCATAAATATATTAAGTCGCACGTAATAAAGACATTAAAGTAGATTTTAGTAAAGACATTAAAGTAGATTTTAGTGGTCAACAAGAACCGATGTAAAAAATCCCTCCTGGTTAGCGAATCTTATCATGGGAAAAACGTTAGCGTTATAACTCAAGATGCCACACGTGACACACACTGGGAAAAAAGATTAACTCCGCAATGTATATACAGCGTTTCCGTGGCGCGGAAAATATATTTGGGCGAATTTTTTTTACACTCGCGTTTTTTGTATGCGGTTGCTGCGAAGCATTTTTTATTAAGAACTTGACAGCGGAGAGCGAGGCAATGTCCTCGTCGAGAGCCCGGGATGGCGGAGAAATCACCTAATGGGTAATTTATTCTCGAAAGGAAGGAACAAACGACGAGGATGTCGTTGAAAAATATTCAAGTGGCCAATCGATCTAGGGATCTGGAAGCTTCCATGAGAGAAGCCGATAATATCGATGTTTTTCCTCCCTTCGATAGTGTCCATCTTACACGATTTGATCCTTTTAAGGTTCGTCGAATCACAAATCCCGTCAACGAGGTCCGTTCTTTCTGTGTGATTACTTTAGATACCGGGAACGCTGCGGATCTAAATCGCAATTCCGCTTTTCGTGATCGAATATCCATGATAAACGAGGTTAAGCTAATTGTAAAAGGAATCTTCGATGTCCAGAGCGTCCTGTCGCGATATAATAAAATTTTAACCCTTTGGATGCGATTCTCTCGTTTTCAAGACTTTATATTAAATTTTATGTATTAATATATATTGAAAAGGCGCGTTAAAGAGAGAAAAAAAATATAATTGGTCTTAGCTTCTCAAAAAGCTTTTTAAAAAATTATTTGACACGTTTCATTAATATTAATGTATTTAACAACTACTAGACTATATAAGAGTATTCGTTTCGCTTGTATTTGCCACATATTATTAGCATGTGTTATGTATTACTGATTAAAATAATGTATTATGTAGTAAAAAGCAATAACTTTTATCAATTCAATTCAATATTGAAATTTTCTAAAAGAGAAACGATGAAAGGGAAGAGAATTAATTAAAAATTATTTCATAAGAGAATTGAAATGATGCAAAATACTATAGTACAACATGAAAATTATCACGCAAAATAATAATACGCTGAATGTTTAATTCAGCTCGCGAACATTTTATAATTAACTTGAACGTACATCGAGCGGAATCACGGTGAATTTCCTGCGATGTTTGAGATTATTCGCGCGCAGCATCCAAAGTGTTAATAATCGTGTTAATTAATCGAGACAGAGAGAGAGACACTCGAGCTTGGCTGGCGATCGTGCGCTAAGGTTCTCGATATCGACCGTCTACCTAATTCACTACTGCCAGGACCTAAAGAGGAAGCTCGACGAGAGGAGGCCGACGAGGGTCGCCCAAGTGACGAGATCGAGCGCACCCCTTCTGGATCCGGAGCCACCCTTCATACAGGTCTCCCGAATGCTGATGATCTTCAGGTTGCGGCGGCCCAACAGATTGTGTACGCCTCGTTTGTCGCTCTTCTGTAGGATGTGCTTGCGCGACAATAGCAGCGAGTAAAGCTGACTGTCAGGATGACGGGAGCAGAAAGTCAACACCATGTCCGAGGCGACGGCCTTCATTACGTGCACATTGCCGCTGAATTGCTTGTACTGCTTCTCCGTCAAGGTACCTGCAAATTAAATCAACCGGTTAAAAAGCAACGACGCGATACGCAAGGAAGTAGAGAGAGAGAAAAGGAGAATCTTTCCTATCGAATTTCCGGTTTTTCGCCTCAGTTCCGCGCGTCCGCTATGCGCACGGAGTTAGAATCTCTTGTACAAACAGAGCTGTCGCGACTGTAGAAATAAATGTCTGCCGACGACAATTCTATTTCTACAAATTATTTTCATTTCTGCGACGAGTGCTCTTGAAATAGGAAGAAGGATATGATGAAGAGTGAATCATTCTTAATATTTACTAATTTTTAGTTCATGTAGAAACGATTTATGTAAAAATATTATAAAAAATATAAAAATATAAAAATATAAATTGAAAAAGTAAGTTTTTTTCTTAAGAAAAAGTATAACACACCCACATTATCTCAATAAATCTTTTCAATAATTTTTTAACTTTTAATATTTTTTTAATTAAAAATTTTTTCAATGATATTTAAATAAAAATTTTCTCCGATATATCTAATTATATTTGATCAATAATAATATTGGGAGACAAATATTTTCACGCACGTGCGATTCGTATTTTCATATAAAATATAAGATATAAGTATGAGATATTGTCAAGGAAAGGCACGATAATAAAGAAGAATCAAGCAAGCAACAACAGCTTGACTTTTCAATTTCCTGTCTCCATTGATATATTGAAAAAAAAATGTCATATGAGATGCTACATATACAACATGCATTTATGTATGTACATATGTGTAAACATATTAACGATATTAAGAAAAAAATAATAAAACATTCAATTTTCATGAAGAAATATTAAAATATACTTATACATATTATGACCATTTTTTTTATCTTCTTCTCTTTTAATTAATCTGCTTATAGTATTTGGAAAGGGCTACTTCGAGTAATGAATACAAGTATTCCAAAGCAATAAAAGCTGATGCAAGTGCTATCCAAACTAAAGTGTTTTCTTTAGAAATTTCTACAGCGAGTAACAAATAACATACAATACCATTGTATTTAGTATCATTTATCACAGACTTGACACTTTTATCCGAACATACTTAATGGACTAAATCGTTGCTTTGACAAATATAAGTTTCAACTACTGTATTCCGGAGATTCCCATATAAACTTCAAACTGTACGCGATGTTTAATCTACGGAAATGTTTAATCTACGGAAATGTTTAATCTACGCAAAGAAAGAATAAATTGACTTCTGACCGAAATACAATGATCGATGTTTCACCTAATGTAATCATTCATTTTGCAAACAATATAAAGAAATTCAAAGTCGTGTTTTCTTTGTCATTGTGTCAGATTTTATCTTGTCACAAATATTTCAACTTGGAAGGATTTATTATTTAATTAAATAATTAAAAATCATTACTCTTGCCAAATAAAATATTTGAGTAATTGAGGAATCGCAATGATTTGATTACGATGCCATTCCGTCGAGACGATGTCTCGATGTATTCGATCATCTGTAACGCAACGCGAGATGTATAAATGTATATGGAAATATGTAATATTACGGCTTATTACGTAGTTGAGAGCACACTTAACGTTATGAATCGATGTTTCACCTAATGTAATCATTTATTTTGCAAACAATATAAAGAAATTCAGAGTCGTGTTTTTTTGTCATTATGTCAGATTTTGTTTTATCTTATCACAAATATTTCAACTTTGAAGGATTTATTATCTAATTAAATTTTAATTAAAAATCATTACTTTTGTCAAATAAAATATTTGAGTAATTGAGGAATCGCAATGATTTGATTACGGTGCCATTCCATCGACACGATGTCTAGATGTATTCGATCATCTGTAACGCAACCCGAGATGTACAAATGTATATGGAAATATGTAATATTACGGCTTATTACGTAGTTGAGAGCACAGTTAACGTTATGAATCGATGTTTTATCTAATATATTCATTTATTTTGCAAACAATAAAAAAATTCAGAGTTGTGTTTTCTTTGTCATTGTGTCAGATTTTATCTTGTCACAAATATTTCAACTTGGAAGGATTTATTATTTAATTAAATAATTAAAAATCATTACTCTTGCCAAATAAAATATTTGAGTAATTGAGGAATGATTTGATTACGATGCCATTTCGTCGAGACGATGTATTCGATCATCTGTAACGCAACGCGAGATGTACAAATGTATATGGAAATATGTAATATTATGGCTTATTACATAGTTGAGAGTACACTTAACGTTATGAATCGATGATTTATCTAATATATTCATTTATTTTGCAAACGATAAAAAAATTCAGAGTTGTGTTTTCTTTGTCATTGTGTCAGATTTTATCTTGTCACAAATATTTCAACTTGGAAGGATTTATTATTTAATTAAATAATTAAAAATCATTACTCTTGCCAAATAAAATATTTGAGTAATTGAGGAATGATTTGATTACGATGCCATTTCGTCGAGACGATGTCTAGATGTATTTGATTATCTGGAACGCAACGCGAGATGTACAAATGTATATGGAAATATGTAATATTATGGCTTATTACGTAGTTGAGAGCACACTTAACGTTATGAAGGAAATATACGGAAACGAGACGCGCGCGCAAGCACGCGTACGATCTATATACGCGATGTGCGACCATAAGCGATGTACACGCATTCCGTATTCACGGGACCATCGCGATGTCGGAAATATTTCACCAGGGATAGCACTCGGCATTTAGAAGCATCCGCATTTCGAAGCAAAGTGGACTTACATATAGAGGAAAAGCGATCCTCCTTCCGCCACATTAACCTTTTTTAATTTTTAATGCAATCTTGATAAATCTTTGATAGGAGTTTTGAAGATAGTAGTTTTGGAGCCAAAGTTTCTTATCAGCAAGAGAGAAGTTGGAGAGAAAGATAAGGAAATCCTTGCATGTGTCACAACTATTTAATCTTCTTACATATAATCTTCTTCTCCGAAGTGTATACATACATGTATATGTCTTCTTCTTATATAAAATACCTATGTATACCTATGTAAAATATTTTATGCCCTCGTCGGTTCTCGGAGAGGAAACGCAGAGCCTAATCGAAACGTCGCTGAACGCGATGACGTTTCGTGCATGTATTATAGATGTGTGACATATTGATCATTGCCGCAAAGCGCACTGACAATTCATCGGAATGACGATTTACTGAAACGGTTGCGAATGACATTCGCCATAGGACTGGATTGTTCCGGCTGTTAAGCAAAGCGACATGAATGGCAGAGGCAATGAAAATCGAAAACGCGTGATCACGAGCGATATCAATGTAATTGCGTCATGAGTAATTAGATATTTATCTTCTGTGCGTTGCGTCCTTCTCGTTTGTGGAAGTCAGAAATTAAATTAAAGCGACATGGTAATTAGATACTGTACTAATTGCATACACTGCGAATGCGCCTGCGACGTCATCGTCGTAATCGCTTCAGTCGATACATTGTCGTGATTAGTATTCAAATTTGTTCCCAAAGCGTGACATTATCATTACATTTTGCTACAACTACGGCTCTATACATTGTTGCTCCAAATTGAGCGGTTGAGCATTGGATCGCAATGTAAACTTCTCTCTTGCATGCATATGTAACCAATTGTACATTAATGTATACCTTACCTATGAATTAATAATCACGTATTAACAAGCAAACCAATTAACCGATTAGCTCCGTAATTATGATTCAGTCTTCATCTCATATAAGTATTACAATATAGTATTGCAGTATAATAATATGTCTACATATACATAGAGAGATGTTTAAATTAATTATTTAATTTATTACAATATAGTATAGTGATATGTTTACATTTAATAATTACAAATTAATTTTTTGGTATGTTTACATACAGATACATGTTTAATTTAATTAAAGTTTAATTTAATTATTTAATACTAGAAAAATATATTTTTGTTTGAAAATGATGAAATCGTTCCTTTATACAATTTTCCATATAATAATTTTATTTCTTTATATGTGTATAACATCAAGAATATTTTCAATCTTTATCCCATATAAATATTACAATATGGTACTGCAGTATAGTGATATGTTTACATATACACAGAGGTGTTTAAATTAATTATTTAATTTATTACAATATAGTATAATGATATGTTTACATACAGAGAGATGTTTAATTTAATTAATATTTCATTTAATTATTTAATACTAGAAAAATATATTTTTGTTTTAAAATTATGAAATACGGAATAACATCGTTCCTTTATACAATTCTATTATACGTTCCTTATTACAATTTCCCATATAATAATTTTATTTCTTTGTGTATAACATCAAGAATATTTTTATATATTTATATGTATTTACGTGTAGCTTTTCTAGAAAAAGACATTGTTGGTTTACGAGTTGGAAACCAAGTCGATCGTATGAGATTCTTATTTTGTTTTATTAAATTTTGATTACATTTGCAATTTCAGTAGATAGCACTTATATCGATAGCCTCTTCAGTATTTCGTCCTGTCAAGCGTCGCGTCTAGTAACCGTAAAATATGTTGCATAAAAATTACAAATTCCATCGAAAAACTATCCTAGATCTCCCTTTTTAGAGCCTAAAATACGGCAGCTGCAGCTTCTGATGAGATTCCCGGTTGAAGTCGAGGGAAGTTAGATTCGGTGAGAGGAAGATGTCGGAGAGGAAAGTTTTCATTTCCGCGTTCTATAAAACGGCAAAAACACACTTGCGGCGAATCCTAGCGGAGTCCTAGTACTTCCGGTTTAAGGAGCAGCTAATGCACGAAATTGATTTAACTTTCTCTAATAAAGTCGCTTATGTTGTGCCGAAAAACGAGCGTTTACCACACCTTCAGCTTTTTTTTCTCTTCCTTTTTTAATGCGATCCGAAAGACAAGAATACATTTTTTTTTGTACACTTAAATACATATATAAATATAATTAGATTTAATATTTAGGATATCGATAAAAAATGGTAAATGTATTTTAGAATTTTGTGAGAGATAAAACATTATATTTTGAATTATTAGCAACGTTCATTTAATTTCAGATATTTCGTTTTTCTCAAATGTAGTTTTTAATCAGATTTTATTAAATTTAGTTTTTATTATTTTAGTTTTTATTATTTTTTTATCTTTTATGTGATGCGTTATACCTAAATTTAATTAATCTCTATCTGAATTCAATTATTTATATATACACATATAATCGCACGCGCGCGCGATGTGTTAAAGTACAATAAAAAATTAATATTAACAAATTAAAATTTTTATTTTTATATGTGAAGAAAATAATTAATTATTATATTTGTACAAATCACTAAAAATATATCAAAATTATTTTATCGCATTTGAGTTATATTCTTCTATAGAAGATATTTCCCCTTCTCAGGAATTTTATTACCCTGGAATTTTCCTGGTGTCTCGATATTGAAATACTGAGTCAAAATTGGTTTTAACAAAAACTTTCTGATATACAAAACATTAAAATTAAAAATATTCTGTAACAATTTAATAGAAATGCATTCATGCTAAAGAAATAATTATAACAATCATTTTATGAATAATATTATGACGTATATATATATATATATATATATATATATATATATATATATAAAATAACTATAAATTAATAATTAAATTTTTTACTAATTTTTACAAATCGATTCTAAAATCGATTAAAAAATAGATTTTTATAATATTTAACAATTTATTTTAAAATTACATCATATTATTATTTAATATATTTCTATTACTTAATATATTTGATTATTTGAATAAAGTGAAATAGAGAAACTAAAAGACATTTTAATTGATGATTTAATTAAATTTTTGATTGATAATAATTGATCGTTTTTTAATTAATTTTATTAGTAATTTCCTAACTATATGTCATACGTCGTTTGTAAACAATGCGTAATCACTCTTACTTTATGACAGGAAACTTATTCGATCTCTTTACGTTTCAAACATAAGAGTCTCCCACATTTCGAATTTTCTTGATTAGAGATCCTTTAGTGAAAGGATTAATACAAGAGCGAATTTCAATGTTGACATTTCCCGAAGTGCCGTCCCAAAGTTCCAAGCGACTTTACAAACAATGTTCATATATCAATCGAGCATACACTTGCAGATTCACGATGCCGAGGCATATTATCCCGCCAGGAGCTAGCTTCGGTTTTCGGTTTTCGGATTAGTACGCTCTAGCAAGTAGACTGAAACGAACTCGCGTAAACCTCAATCCGTATTATGTACGTTCTCGTCTACTCGCGCGCTATTATATACCAGATCCCGTATTTGCTGTTGGCTCTGATTGCGAAGAATAGCGAGGACCAGCCACAAAGGATAGATGCTTCCCGAGGGAGGATAGAAATAGGAGAAACTTGCAGAGTCGGCCGAAAAGAAATTAAAAAGAGCAGATGGTCGTGCGACTTTTGAAAAATTATTTTCCGCGTCGTCGACCGCTTTCTCCCCGCGAGAGCTCCTCGCGACGAATTTTCCGCGTTCTCCCGTCATTTTACGACAGCAGGTATTCGTAATTGGATGCCTCGACTTTACTGGCTTACGATGGCTGAATCTCTTAGCTCGACTGACGGTTAACCGATAATCACATGGACGATTCCACGAATTCATTAAGATCATTATCCGCAGGTTGAGATTTTAATTATCGTCAGCGTGTTCCAATCGTGTTCCAATGAATTACATCGATGTACAAGGTGTCCAGTCTGATATAACTTTGTTTAATATCTTCATTTATATATTTTTATATATTTATATATTTATATATTTATATATTTATATATTTATATGTTTTTATTTATTTAAGAATTTTGTACAAATGTGATCATTAAACAAGTGTATTACTGTGTCTCTCAAATAATTTATATAATTGATCGATTTTATTAACTCTATAAAAGAAAATCAACATAAATTATTAATGTATTTTTTTCTTTGGAACGATCATATTTTGAGAAGATACTCGCGAGATTTTTATACTTTACTGAATCGATTATTTTTGAATGCAAAACAAATTTAAAATATACTATTTTTGTGTTTCCACTTCCTTTGTGGTTCCAACTCTAGATTGACATTAATATGCTCTTATTCTTTTGCATAAAAACTTTTCAATCCATATTTTTAATCTATTAGCAAATGTAAATATAGTAAAGAGGTCAGACTTAAATAAAGCACTTAATGAATTAAATAATTTTATTGAACCAATTTAATTTTTACTTATCTTTCCTTTTTTGAAATATTTACCGTTATTTATATCACTAATTAATCCGACTATTAAACAAGTATGTGACTTATTGTTCTTTTTCTATTTTACATATTGCAAATTATTCTATTATTGATTATTATTATTATTACGTTATCATTCTATTGTAACTACTATTTTATTTTAATTGTCACTTTTCTAACGGTAAAGTAATTTACTGTTCGGCAAATTATTGTTCTATCAATTTTCAATAAAAAAAATACAATTGATCAAAGAGTTTATACATGAAAGAAAACATGTTTAAAATGCTGCCAGTGATCTGTATTTTTATGTTATATAACTTTTATTTTTCCCTTCATGGAGACAATTTATTGTTTTAATCATCATTGTTTGTTTACGCATTTAAGGATTATTTCGAAAGACTCGCAATACAAATTTTGATAAAAAATAAACTTCGATTGTGATTTTTTATGAGTTCTTCCTTTTCGAGCTCATCCTTATTTAACGATGCATTTAGAGGATATCAATTGTCCTGAGAGTCGCTAACCTAATGGCATGTCTCTAATACCGACGTAACTTTGAGTACAATCAAGTCGGCCGAATCATTAATTCAATTTACTCCTCCGCAAGGAGTTACCCGAAACTTTCGACTATCCACCTGGCAAGTGCGACGTGATCGGTTATTTGGACCTATGATAATCATCCTCGGAAGAACTTTCAACTTTGCGTCTGTTTGTCCGCCGTCAAAATAGAAACTTTTGTACGCGAAAGAGAAAAAAGCGATAATCTTATTCATAATTTTATTTATTAATAAAATTGTATAAGGGAAAAACTCTTTTTCATTACTTAATCTTTTAATACTTTTATATCAAAATAAATTGGTAAAGAATACGGCTCCATGTATTTAACAACATGATAATTAAGAAACGAGCACTAACAATAAGAGCCTACAAAACGCGGATGGCAATGCGTAAATTTTTTCGAACATTAATTGTTCGCGAAAAAATTTTTAAGACATATACATATATGCCAAGTTATAGATTCTCTTGGTTTGACTTTTATATCAATTTTTTAAAAATGCTTATTTAAAGGAGAAAAATTAATATTATTCAATTGTTCTTTTAAATTTTTTCTAGTGGAAAAAATGACAGTCTAAAAGAAATAATTCCAGTTTATTCTCTACGTTCAGTTACTGGCTGATGTATTTCTTTGGATATATAGACAATGGATCAATAAAATCCAGAATACGCACGAGAGAGAGAGAGAGAGAGAGAGAGAGAGAGAAAGAGAGAAAAAGAAAGAGAGAGAGAGAGAGAGAAAGGAACAAGAATGTGACGCGCAACAGCGCAACACGTTTCCGTCGCAATTTGAAACAAATTGAAAAATTCCTTCGTGGCAAAAGCTGAGTTCTAATTTTGTTCCCGCAAAAGCGATGAAGGAAAATACTATTCAAAATCTAGCACAAGTTCACATGTTAAAAATTTACAGACGTTTTATCAAAAATACTCATCAGCTTTCCTCACAATTTCATTTCTTTGTTTTTAAAGAGATCCTTGGGAGAACATCAATAGAACGCTACTCGAGAATGAAAAATTAAAAATCTCAGTTTTATCATGAGAGGTTTTTAATTCGGCTAACTGTGTTAAACATAGAAAATCAATTACACAATGAGCGTAACTTGTCTTCTGATTAAAACGATCATGATACTTTGAAACTTGTCGTGGAGAAAAGCAGAATGCTGAGAGATTCGATTAAGATATAAAGAAGTAAGGATCATCCTCGCCCTTTAATCGACTTTCAAAAGAAATTGTAACTTGAAATTGTTACTCTAATTTCGCTATATATTACTAATCACGATTCTTACTTTATATAATTATTCATCAAATTTCACAATACATACTCTCTGTCTCTTTCCCTCTCCCTCATGTTTACATGGCTCATTACATACATCTCTAATATATGAATACATTAATTTGCACATCAACGATAATACATTCCACTTCGATATTAATTTACATATTGGAAAGCCATCATCTATTAGATTAAATTTTAACTATTGCGATGTTAAATTACTATTACATTTGTGTTCTTTTGCCATTTAAATGAAAATTCTAATGAAAATTAACTATATAAAAAACATTTGTACATTTTATTATTATTAATAAAAATATATCTAAAAATTGGATAAAAAATATAAAAACAGCAAAGAAATAATAATGAATGAAAATGATATGCAAATTAACAATATCTAACTAGTTTATAAATAGTGCGAAAATGAACGAAATCTTACCGTTTTGTGGACTCATAGTTTGCCAGTAACCTTTTCTTTTGGCAATATCTGGTATTCGAAAGGTGTACTCCAAATTTCCAGCCTCCTCGTTCCATAATAATTTCAAAGAAGTGAACTCTAGTGGCTTCAACTTTACGATTGGACACGAATCAACAACGTATGTTGGGCTCGTTTTTTTCGTAAGGTCTGGTCTATGTTCTAGTACTTCCACGACGTACCACTTGCCCATTATCTGTAACAAAATATTTTCACAAAATTAATATAAGCGTAAGATATGCTAAGTGCAAATAAATAAAAAATATTATTCCTTCGATATCAAGCAATCCATTCTTTTTTCTTAAAAGAATATTTCTCAATATTAAACAGTCACAAAAAAAATATTAAATTCTCGTTCAAAAGAAACTGGTCCTAAATTGGTCAAAGAACTTGCGGAGGAAAGGAAATGCAGGACTTGCAGTATATGCGCGAGAGAGTCGAGGTAATCCAGCAACTTCGGTGAAGGTAGTTGTAGATAATTCCGTGAGGAGCTTAAAGCAAATTACGGGCGATTTATTGGTTGAACGGCCGTTAGTGATTAAGTCTGTGGAAATAATATCGGAGCTGAATCACCTCCGAATACCGATCGACATAATGCGCACGGGATTTTATTTTTTCAAACCAGCCGTTTCAATTTCATAGCACCATAAAATCTTATTAATCGGATATCGTAAAAAGATCGCTTAGTATTAATCTCCTTTATATTTATTTATTCTTCGCGCGTATTTATCTCTCCTTTTTTATTACTATTATCGGGAAATAGATCGATGCCGCAACTCTTCAGCTTCTTGCTTCGTCGCTTTTACGATAAACAACAGCCAGGCAAGGGTTAATCCCACAGAACATTAGTTCTAAGTTTCATCATCAAGGTAATAAGGAGTTCGTCGATCTTACCAGGATACAATGACGTTGATTGATGTGTGTTAGATCAAAATTCGGTCAAAGATACGCGTAGATAAGATTTAAAGGTTAATCTTCTAAAAATTCGGCTCGATTGTCGAGAAAATCAAATTTTTGTTATCGTAACAGGACACAATAACGCAAAATTGACTTCGAACTATCGCAGGTCGAAAAACTAAAAGCTAGTTTTAACAATCCTTCTATGCAATCGACGGCTATCTGTAAAAAAATTTGATTTATAAAGAGCATCCATACGATTCTTTCGCCAATATTATTATAAATACGATTTATAATTTTATACTTTTTATACTTTTATACTTTTCGTTTATACTTTTCATAGCAAAATTCACTTTAATTTAATTTGTGCATAAAGCTGGTATTATGCACAAACATGATTGTTTATTCAATTTACGCATACATTTATACATGCTAATGTATCCATTGAAAACACTTAATCGTCAAGTTGACATAATGCAATAATGTAGATTATCAATTTATTGTATTTAGATGATACGCGGTTTTACTCGCGGAAAATGCTAAAGAGAGTTCGTTTAACAGTGACCGCAATAATTCCGCGAATACCTGAGATGCATAAAGGCTCCTCCGTACTTTGCTTTTATGATGCCAATGAGTTTCCAGTCTCGCGCGAATGTACCTCTGCTGCTTGGAAATTGTTCATAAAAATATGAAATATCTTTCTCATTCCTATTACACATTTTTTTCTATTATTTATTCTCTTTCTCGCTGTTTTAAAATTTTATTCAATGGAAACTCTTTTTTATTGAATAAAATTTTAATTATTCGAAAAAATCTCGATATTTTCCCTAATGAAAGGAATATTTATTTATAAGATATTTTATATACACGAACACACACATACGCACCTAAAATTAAAGAAAACGCAAATCGAGCAGATATCAATGTATCACTATATATGCATGTATATACAATATGTAGGTACCCTATCTTTATTGTACCGGAAAAGCGCCGTAAATCATTGTCGTCGAGGTGTATGCGATACTGGGTCACGGCATGTGTGTGGCCGAGGGATTAAAATTAACGAGATAATAAATATGGCCTTTGTCGAATAAGCCGCAAAAAATTTCAATTGCCTTTTCGAGGGAGTCGCATCGTGCGAACAATCGCGCTTATTCGCAGTTATTCGCTCAAAAATGCTCCCTTTTTTGTAACCAAACGATTGCGATTGTATATAAAAATGCTGTTGCTATTAATTGGAAAGTAAAGAAGTTATTTATTTGGTACAAAAACGTATCTGTGAAATTTAAAATTTATAGATACGAAATATGCAGACTACGTACTGTGTATGAATAATGTTGCTTGTCTTAAGAAACTTTGATAGGCATCCAATAATGAACTTCGCCAAGTTGTTTTATTATTCAATCTTATAAATGTAAGACCTACACAATATAATCTCGATACCGGTCCGTTGAAATTAAGGAAAGTTTAATCAGCATCAGTCTTGAAAAAGAGGAGACTATACAGAACGTTCGAGACAGATAGCCCGCATCATCTCATGCGCTGGTCTTACAATTTATATCGCTAATAATGCTAGATAAATATAGGGCTTTGTTCAAGTTGCGAAAGTAGTTAGAAAGTTTAATTGATCCAGCAGACCATTATTACATGTAATGTGATTACGTCACACGTTCTCCTTGAATCGTTTTCGATTAGCCAATAAATTATGATCGAAATCTAATCCTTCGCTTGCGCGTGTTTCCGTTATATCCCGCAGAGTGTGAAACATTCTGTAAACATGTAAGATTATCGTTGAAAATTCCATTAAAGGAGAACTGCATGTAATCATAATTTATTGACTAAAACAAAAACAATTCAAGGAAACCCAAGGATGAAATAAGAATAAAGTTAAAAAATATAAGAAATAATAATCTTTACATATAATGAATAATAATCATTTACATTTAATTATATATTTATTTTTAAGAAAATTGTCACCTTTTTTTGAAATAGTGATTACTTAATTTATATAAATTTATTTTATTAAAAATAAATTAAGCCTTCCTTCCATGTAAAATATTTTTACGTTTTATAATTGTATACATTATTATTCTTATTTGTTATTTGTATCATATATTATTCCTATCAGATATTCGATTTCGTAAAAATTTTCTGATTTTATACTCATAAAATTTAACCTATTATTCCAGAAAAATCACATTATTTATAGAATGAATTAATATACTCACTGTAACATTCTCATTGATCTACATGAATGTAATAAACATATTTTTTCCATGAATTGAAAGCATTACATTACTAATATTCTTAAAATAATTAGAATTTTAAAATCCAATATTTAAAAAAATCGTATATCTCTTTAATAAAGATTTAACATTCATTTATTTATATAATCAGTATTTTTCACAGAAGATTCATCGAGTAAAATCGAAAAAATCGTCAAGTCCCACATGAAGGTTTTAAGTCTGACACATTTGCAAACTAAATCTATATTTTTTTTCTATATAAGATTTTCAATAAAAGACGTAAAAGACGTAAAAAATCTTATTCTTACTTTTTTTGAATCAAGAAAACTAAAATTTATAATTAATACATACATATTTCTTTCTTTTTGAATTACAAAATTTTTACAAATATGTCCGCGCGTGCGATTAATTTCATAAATATAAATCAAAATATTGCAAAATATTGCAATAAATTGTATTGTACATCATACACATACAATATTTGGTATAATAATTTTTATTGTGCATTGTTCAAGAAATTAATTCGGGTTTGATTCTGTGTAAGGTTTGCGGGTTATAATTGCAAGCCGAATGACATGCACATGCGTTTCATCTGGATGCAGCGGTGAGCAAAATTACGGCAAATAAACCAACGGCGCGTCGTACGAGAATAAATTTTCGTTTATTAGACACTACCGGATGCAAACGTGACTTATGCATTCGCTATTGTAACGAGGACGTCAGCATTTTTACGGGAAAGTGTTGCAGTAATTAGTAGGAAGAGAGTAAATTACCGTGCGCGTATGCTGTCTAATAGCGGGTAATTTCCGAAATAAAGAAAAAAAAAGAAGCGACGTGAAACGTGTTTTTTTCATAGTTACACTTCTGTTGCCTCATCGATCACGCAGCAATGGAGAGAGAACCCGCCCATCCAAATATATTCAGCTGCTCAAACTCAGTTTACTAGTCGTATTCGCTTCGGAAGCTCTCTTGCAGCAGCGCATACTTTACAAAGTTGAGGAATATACTAGTACATATTCACTTGTACTGTTTCCAAGTGTTTTATCGAAAATATTATTTTATATATTTCTCTCCTATATAACATCCTATATATTTAACATTCTCGTCTATAACATACATCTTCATAAAATTGAGGAGCTGGACTCAAAGATGGAGGCACATAACTTTTAAGGCGGCGCAGAGAGGCTGGAGGATTCATTGGTTTTTGGGCTAGTTTTGGGGCTGTCGTCCGACAGCTGGCAATTTTTCCGGGGGAGATGTGCATTTGCATTTTTACGACTTTCGACGGCGCTTGCCGTCGCGATGCCTCTTTCTGACACCGTCGAAACGAGCGGCAAAAATTGCGCCGAGTGGGGTCGCGTACGAATTTGGAAAAGAGGAAAAGCGAACACAAGAGAGAAGTCGCTCGTCGAATCCATGCGGCATTATTGTATTTATGCGTTTATTAAATTCTACGCGACATTATGGACGCTGAATTCTTACAATGCGACACACGCGCGATATGAAATTCAACTTTTGCATTTTACATATTCCCGCTACATTTGATGAAAGTAATAAGAAAAGAAATTTTAATACTTACAGCAACATAATATGTAGTGTGATAATATATTTTTAATATATTTTCTCTTTCGTATATTAAATCTATCAGAAATATTATTCGTATATTAAATCTATCAGAGATATTAATATTTTCAAGTATGATGAATATTTTTGATATTATTTTTCTTTTCGCATACAAGTATCATTATCCAAAATTTTGGATAATCCACAAAAATGTGTGTTATGTGCGAACAAAATTTTTCTTTCAATATTAAAAACCACAATAGATATTGTACACGACAGCGTCATACGATGTATAAAGTAAATTAGTTCTTCAATGGTATGTGTACACAGAGGGGCGGGGATGTCGAATTTTTAAATAAATTGTCACGTTGTGGTGTCTGCGCAAAAGGAATTTAATTAAAACACGGGAATTTGCTTCTGATCGATTCGGCATCTCGTTTAAACGCACATTGACTTGTTATCTGTAATTTCATATACAAGGCATTCCAAA